ATAAAATACTGTCACATTTAGAAGGCTTCTATTTGCAGACTTACCGAATTTGTATGTACCAAGGGTGACATCATAGCTGAAGCATCTCTCTTTTAAGGTTCCCAGGCCTTCAATAGCATGACCCAAATCAGGTTACTAAATGAGTAATGATGACAAACCATAGATACAGCTAGTGAGCAATGGGACATGCAGAATGATTAATGACAGGATTTTTGCTATTGAAGAAAAAAAAAAGAAGTCATCATTAAGGGAATGTCAAATGACACAGAGAACAGACCAGTTATATATTTTCTGGCCTTTGACAATACCACTTAGAGAGTCACCTGCCAGGAATGAAGCAATTTTTTGGAAACAGATGAGTAAGAAATCTATGAAATAATTATGATGAGGTTCCCCATCTGAGACAGAGGCTTACATCTCAGTGTTGTCATTCATTAATACCAAATATAATGATCAGCTCACCCATTGAAGTAATTACTAAGCTCCTATAATATATCTGAGCTGCTGAACAAAGCTTTGGTAGTATGTTGGTATATCAAACAGATAAATCTGCAAGAGACACTTCCCATATTCTCACAAAACTTACAAACGTACAGAGGTGATGAGATTAATATGTTACCAAGCGAACAGATAGTGGCAAGCATTACCCAGAGCAAGTGATAGGCATTGACATCATAGAACCCTCTTCTGGAAAACATGAGCAATACACATTTCCTTGGATTATTTGGCAATCTAAGAGTTAATTCACTGTGTTTTGACAGTTGACTTAACAGATGGTAATATTGCTTCTGTTTTAATTATTCTAAAAATTACAACTAAATAATATGCATTAATTTTAGATCAGTTTTCCTGTGGTATTCTGAATAATTATGACTATTGTTTACAAGCATAGAATGATATTCATTATCACTGATTTCCACAGTGAATAACTGAATAAATGTTTCTTACTCTGTTCATAAGGCTGTGCTTTGAAAATTTTCTTGTAGAGTATGATCATTGAGTAAATTAATTTTTCATCCTCCAACAAAACAGAATTTTGACTTTGTTATAGATCAGATAAAAAAATCTAGAATGCAAGTTGTCAGAAATACATATATGAAACCCAACATCCGAGGCAATGGAGGAATTTTATGATTAGCTGCAAGTGTGTGAGGAGTTTAAGACTGTGAAAGATGGACTGAAATTTAACGTAAGAAATATAACTCTTACTTAGACTTTATCAGGTTTTCTTTGATGTGAATGAATAATGAAGCATAAGCAAATCATGAGCTTTAATAACTCACATAGCAAGAATCCATAGTTGTTTCTTTAAAAAAAATAACAGAGTAAATATTAAATGGGGAAAATTACTTGTCTGCTTTCAGAGATTGCCTTTCAATTGGTAATTTTGAGTAGGAAAGGTCACACATCACATCAATGTAACAGGCAGAATGGAGAAAGAAAGCCCAGGTCTATTTGACAGGGTCTTTTTACAAAAAAGGAAAAAAAAAAGAAAATTATTGTTCTTGGCTTTAAGGAGTAGGACTTAGAACTAAGTATTTATACTTCTTAGCCTCTTGACCTCTTTGCTAGGGATTATTATGAATTTAAGCATTGGCTTTGAGCCTAGATTTTGAAACTTAAGGCATAAGGAAAAAATATCTTAAACTTTGGGTCAAGCAAGGCACTTGGGAAATATATGAGCATTAGGGGAACACCCCAGGTTCCATAACTGGAAAAATATTTTAAGCAATGCACTCACACACACATACACACACACACACAAAAAAAAAAACTTGTAGAGGGCTGGAGAGATGGCTCAGAGGTTAAGAGCATTCCCTGCTCTTCCAAAGGTCCTGAGTTCAATTCCCAGCAACCACATGGTGGCTCACAACCATCTGTAGTGGGGTCTGGTGCCCTCTTTTGGTCTGCTGGCATACACACAGACAGAATATGGTATACATAATAAATAAATAAATATTTTTAAAAAATGTAGAAAAAGATCTTCACTTTCTACATCTGCATTCCCAAAGTGCAGTGTGCCTGTGGAAAGGGATGTGGCCCTTAAAGCAGAAAGGTATCTATCTGGAAGAGATACTGGAAGCACACTGGCTGCTAAGGAATGCTGACTTTGGCATGTAGGAAAATTTTGGCAAAAACTGTCTCAAGATGGATGTATGTTACCTGCTTCCCATTTACCTGTTTCCTATCTTCCAAAATGGGTTATCTAGGACCATGGAGAGAAATCAAATTCAAGGACAAATACAAGAACGGTGATGGTAATAAATCTGAGGAAGGAGCCTTGTGCTCATTGCCTTGGCAATGGAAACTGGATTGCTGCGTCATATCATGGGTATCAGGGGACATGGAGGAAAGGGGGGCTGGTTTACCTTAGTGCTAACAGTGAAAAAACACATGGTGCAACAGATTAACCAGAAAAAAAGATTTTATTATAACCATGTACAGATTAGTTTAAGAAATTTCAACAATAAAATGTGTTTCCCAGATTAAAAAAAAGCATAAATTCCATAGTAATTACTGCAGTTAATACTGAGTTTTAATAACATATGCAAATTTCCATCTTGCTGATACTGTTATTTATGCTTACCTTTTTGTGAACACTGTGTTCTACATAGAAAAGTTTCAATAAACTACTACTAATTCCATCACCTGAAGGAGATTAATGAAAGCTTCCCATCAGGAAT